CAATGAACTTTTTTTTATTTTAATTCTACAAAACTATAGAATTAAAATAAAAAAAATTTTACCAAATTCAATCAAGTAGTTATTGAAAAATCATCGCTAGAAGTTTTAAAAAACTTTCGAATTTATAAGTGAATCCCGATGATGGGTCGGCGGCGATCTGCAGGTCGTTTGCTGAATTTTGGTGGACCCACTAATCTACGACAGGCCTCGGAAAATCACATGATCGGAAAATCGATACTACGCCCTGTCAAATTCCTAATCTACTCCTGAACTTATGACTTTAAATTTGGCGACACTATTGTATAATTAATTAACCAATTATAAATTCATAAACTATATTAAATATATACGTATATTAGCCAAATCGATTATGTAATCACCAAAAAATGGCGTACTTATAAAGCCATATTTAAAATTATCTTTTTTAAAAACCTCAGTATTTCCAACTGCTTCGTATACAGCATTATTCAATTAATACAATCAAAAACCACACTCTTGAACAATTCAGAGCATATAAAGGCTGTATGATCTCTTTGTAAATGCATACATATACTACATTCCCAAGAGGATACATAATTCCTTAAATACAAATTTATTATTGGTTATTCTGTGAATAATTATGAGATCTATAACATCATCCGACATTCCACTTATTATAGCTTACATTATTATTCTATTTCACCTCTTTGTTGATACGCTTTTACGTCAAAACGCGGATGCTAGGAGGTTCGACTTAGATAATGATACCGATAAAAGCTCTACACTGTTCGTTTTTATCGCTTTCATCATTGTGCTTGGCATTCCCGTCTTTATGTTATCAATTATTATTGGTTTAAATGATAATCTTGGGATTGGTGTAATTGAATCACCTTATCGCGAAATATTATCATGGAGTGGAATTATACTTATTTTGTTTGGATTTGGTCTCAGAGCATATGCGATGAGAATTAATCGGTTTTTTACGCGAACTTTAAGAATCGGTGAAGGACAATTCATCGTAACTGAAGGTTTGCCGAATAGTCATTATGATGATTTAATGTTAAAATTAATAATATTAAAATTTCAAATTTAATAAACAGGCCCGTATAGGTATATACGTCATCCAGGTTACGCAGGTCAACTGCTAATGTGGCATGGCTTTGGTCTGTCTTCTGGAAATTGGATCGTTTTCATAATAATCTCTATTATAATTAACATCACTTATTGGTATCGTATACGTTGTGAAGAATTCATGTTATTGAGAACTTTTGGAGTCGATTATTTAGAATATTCTACTCGAGTAAAAAAAATAATTCCGTTCATTTATTAAAATTTTTAAATTGTTGTTTATTTATACCATGTATCGAGAGAATGTCGATTTAATCATTTATTCGAAGCATAGTTTATCAAATGTTTTTTTCATAACATTCAGTGTAAGATTGTACCTGCTAAGAAATTTTCTACCTGGGTACTATTAAATTACCCGGTTACCCGGGTAATTTTATTATGGCCATATAATAGAAATGTCTACCCGGGTACAATCTCTAATTCAGTGCGGACCCGGAAACCCAGTTTTTTTTTTTTTTTGTATATAAAATTTTATAAAACTCAAAATACACACCTGGTTATTAAATTTTGACCCAATGAAAACAAAAAATTTTGTATGATTTTATTCCCTTTAATTTACTTCCAATGTTATTAATATTAATGTAGTGATTATACGTAATTCCTTTATCACGGTATATAATATAATTTTGACTTTCGGACAATAATTTCTGAAATCCTTCTTTTAACGAGCCGTACAAAGCCGCAGCGTAACATCCACAATATTTTAACATAGGAATAAATAGGTGGATCACACTTCACATATAACTAGGATTCATGATCTTCGCCCATTATCTTGGCTAAATCCTGGATGTAGCATTATGGTCGTGCATTCCAAGCCCTATGCCATAGTACTTTCTAATTACCCTTAAGGAAATTGATCAATTATATGAGTGCCGCAAGGCGAAAACCCGTAATTTTTGAATTTCGGATTTAACACTTAACGGAGTATAGCTTATCAGTTCTTGAAAATGCGTCCGAATGATTGATAAGTAATTTTTATACTCTGCATATAATTCTAATGTGATAATATAAATATAAAAGCTATAAAAGCAGGAGAGCGATGCTTCAATTACATATTGTTGGTATCTTGTAGAAGCGAATGAAAAATTCCGGTTTTTCGCTTTGTGGCACTCATGAATACCAGGCATTAAGAAACAGTTGGAATATACGGATGGCATGTTTTATAACCCTTGTCATACATTGAACATACAGAACTTGAGGACAAAAGTTAAATGTAAATTTCACATTAAATCACAATACTATCATATCACTCATCAAACATGATGTCAAAAAATACATCTTCGGAATTATTATGCTGATCGTCCGAAAAACAATGAAGATTTGCACACTGTATTTGCGAAGTCGATACAATTTTATTGTTCGTAACGCAAAATTCAGAAGCATGCGATAACTCCCAAGAGTCCCTAGTATTCACAAAAAAATGTTTATCCTCAAATTCATCAAAGTTTAATAATTCCACATCATCATCAGGAACTACACAAGTGTCCTTAACATCAGTATCTTTAGGATCTAAAAAATCAGCATTATTATATTGATCAAATACACTTCTGAAATTTGAGCGATTTTCGTTGTCGAAGTAATGCAGATCTTCCTGCAAAAAGTTATCGGCATCAGAGCTAGAGGATTCCTCAAACACAGTCTCACCAAAATCTCGATTATCTTCGTCATCAGTGTCAAATAAAGATCCAGTATAATCATCAACATCCGAAGTAATCTCACTGGCAAACAAGTCAATATCACCACTATTGTCAGTATTACATTCTAAACATACAGTTTGTGTATCTTTAGTTTCCCCATAACCGTTGATCCCATAATTGTCGAAAAGATCTTCAAACACCTTGTCTGAATTTGATTTATCGCGATTTAATTTAGATATTATTTTTGATTTTTTCACAACTTTAGCATTTGATGTTTCTTCGTCGCTCGATGAATGCTAATGTAAAAGCATTTAAGTACAATGGTTTCAATTTCCTCCGAAATATATCTTATATTTATTTCTCACCTCTTGAAATGCTGGTATATGTACTTTGATGTCTCTTGCAATCGAATATAATCCATTTGAAAAAATTTTCCTCATCTGTTCTGGTGTTGAATCTGCGTCATATTTTATACGACCATTTGGCACGAATGATAAATTAGTATGAGCGCGTGTTCGCTGAGATGTGTATCGATAAAATAAGATGAGTAAGAGAATTATAAAAACTACTTTTTATTATCCTCTAAAGAATTATATTAAATTTATTATACTTGAGCAAATTCAATCGCTTTTGATCGAAAACTCTCGTTTTTGCTGCTTTGAATAATATGTATTAAAGATTTTGAAATAAGTGGAATACACCGTGTTATGTATTGCAGTTTCTATAAATATTCAACCAAATATGCAATAAGAATTTTTATACTAATTAAACATGTGGAAACAAATTATTCATATATTAAAGCTTTACACACATCATGATATCCGGAGGAAAACACGAGTGGGTACCGTTGAAGCAAGAGGTTTTTCATTAAACTGCGAAATGCTAGATCAATTGCTGCTATTTCCAAAGATAATGTGCTCCACTGTTTATTTGTAAGCCTCTGACGCAACAATGTTACGTGTGTGACGTCCTGTTTGTCAAGGAATTAACACACTGAAGCAAGTACATTCATTAGATAGGCATTTAAAAAAAG